CCTGCAAGTTTCGTTCATCTACCAACTAGAAATGAAAGAGCTCCCTTAGCCTCACATATCTGACAATACTACGCGAATTTAATTTATTTTTCGACTTATTTCCTAGCGGTAAAATATATGTTTACCAAAATATTTTTCAAAGATTGCACAAACCCCGACCAGTAAAATTTTAATATCTACTTAAATTTTAATATCTACAGTTCCCAATCGTCATATAAATGAGACTTACCTAATCGCAATTTATTCTAAGTTCAACGATTCATTGCGAGAATGTTATGAAACTCTAAAAAACGAAACTAGCGTTACGAAAATATGGAGAACAATATACAAAACGAAAAAATGCAACAAACACGTTTTCATGATGGGAGTTCATCAAAGTTTAACAAAAATCAGTTCGATTATCTGGTAACAAAAACAACGGATAATTCTAAAGTAACATATTACGAAAACCAAACTATGTACTAGATTTCTAACCATATGATTCGCTCATAATTCATTTACAGTTTTTTACGCATATCTATACAATTTATCGTATATTGGTGATTCGCATGATAATTTGATTTATGACAAAGTGACCATCACCATTTTGTACGAATGGTTACATGCATTTATAATGCAACTTCTAAATCATCAATATCCTCGACATCAATTGCGAATCACCTGGTATTTTTCACACTATCTTATAAACTCGAGTATATCAAACCAATCCACAGGAGATATTTTCATCATTAAATAAAACATGAACACATTAACATTCCAACTGAGTACCTATACATACATTTCTATCGGGTAATTTTCCATAAGAATCTGTTCTGGCATTTTTTTCAAACAAGTTTGGTGGTTCAGATCAAATCAATATTCAGGGAGCCTTCAAAACTTGTCCACGAAAAATGTTATGCCAATTGGAAAGCCAAATCAAGCATTGAATATTTGAAAACCACATCATTTCACTGTTTTTTCAGACCGATTGGAATGAAATTGAGAACCATTCATTTCAACAAATAACGTAATCCTCTTACTAGGACTGTGGCAACACTTTAAGGGTATGGACTAATTCCATTTTCGAATAAATAATTTCTCTATATTGATTCTACAATAATATAGATGGAAATTCAAAGTGGTTTGTACTATGTGAACATTGAACCCATTCAGTGGCATTGCTTTTTGAGTTTGAAAACCGTGGATTTTTTGAATTTCGTCCTGACGTTTCGCTGGCGCGAGTGGGTAGCTTCTTCAGAGGTTCAACCATCATGGTAGCCACAATAAACCCTAATGGGTTGCAATGGAGGATCGAATAGACCCACTCACTTTAGACCTAACCATCATGGCTTGCTGTCCGATGACTACCTTTTAGGCTTCGTGAAGCGTATTTATGCCTTGTCAAGTAATCAGTTGTTTTTGTACCTGTAATTGTACCTGTATTTGTACCTGCACTTGTACCTGTACTCGTACCTATACTTGACAAAATTATGTGGTCTTCTTCAGTAAGTGCGTGTTCTGCCACAGTTGACTTGTCTGTTTGGTCTAGTCTGCACTTCCTTTTATGCTCTTTTAGTCTTGTTCCCATGGATCGTTAGGTGGTTCCGATATATACTTTTCCACAAGTGCACGGTATGCGATAGACCCCTGCTGCTGATAATGGGTCTCTTTTGTCTTTAGCTGACCTGAGGCTTTGTTGTATCTTCCTCGTGGGTTTGAAAACTGTTTCGATGTCGTTTGCCCAATAGTTTTCCAATTCTGTCCGTGACCCTAGGGATAAACGGTAGATATGCGCGTGCAACCATCTGATCCTTTCTCGCTTTCTAAACCGTGGTGCCCTTCGGTTTCATGGCTTTTCTGGTCTCGGAAGCACAGACAAAGAGACCCATTATCAGCAGCAGGGGTCTATTGCATACCGTGCACTTGTGGAAAGGTATCTATCGGAACCACCAAACGATCCATAGGAACAAGACTATAATAACCTTAAATTTCGTTTTAATATGAGCGCACGTCTATAGTAAAAGAACGAAATTGACTCCGCACTTCGTTTCGAGGTCACTGAGAACTTAATGAATTTATGAATGAAAGTAGTGGGAGTGGACTTACTGGTTGATTTTTACTATGGCTACGATGTTTGCGAAACGCGTCTAGAATGAAACATTTTTATGAACATTTCTTGATTATTATCATGGATAGGGTTAATAACTTCCATCAAGTAACGAGTCAGTGTATTCATAACTTCTATCGTATGTTTTTCAATTCCTAAATATTGATTGATCCTTACAATTTGAATAACACCCAACCCGTTCGTAATAAATATTCGATAGTAGCTTATCAATTTTAGGTATATGGCTTTATGATTTTAAAAATGATCACAGTATCGCACCACAATCCATGACATTCCATAAATTTTTCCATAAATTTGTGACTCGAGAAAAATCATTTACTGAAAACCATGAGAGTGGGAAATTAGTAGTTGTGTTCATTTAGGAAATGTTACTGATGCTACAGTAGATATGATAATTGTAACTGATATTGGGTCGAACTCAGTACATTTACTGGCATTCACTATATAATTCAGATATCAATCGATTCTTCAGAGGAGAATCAAACCATTTAACATATCATATATGTTTCTTCTATTAGTATTTTTTTTTTCTTTTAAATATTACCTGAGTTTCATCCTAACACCGAATCGTTACTTTTAACACCTCAACACGTTGTTTTTAACACCTCGACACGTGTTTTAATTACCAAGTGATCATCTTCAAGAGGAAACTCAATCATCCTCTTGAAGATGACCACTTAATGATCGAAACACGTGTAGAAGTGTTCAAAATAACGGTTCAGTGTAAGTAATATTCATTACTACATCAAAGGTTGCAAAGAGTGTATCACCATGATTTTTCAACTTGCTTCATTTGCACAATTATTTTTTTTGCAAAATTGCATTGTGAATCTCATATTCCTGGATGAAACTCATAACAGTAATCAATTTTTATCATGAAACAGAACAAACATATCAATTCATTTTCAACAATGAACAAATGTGATAAGAAGTAAAATCAATTTCCAATCGCGATATGAATTTTTTGTGAAGTATTAGCTTGATTATCAGGAGATACGTATTTTACTCAAAGTTAATCTTTCCCATTATTCACTAATCTGACAGTTTGTTTGCACAAGATGATTAAGAATAGGTGTGCATGATATTGAATTATTTCACAATATCCGCAACAATGATAAATCAAGTACGAAAATTGTTTAAATTGAAAGGAGTATACTTTTAGGAGAGACTATACAAAGATGTGTAGAGCTTGCAAAGAAGTAAGTTTCAGACACAATCTGAAAGAAAAGAAAAGCCCTTTTGAATAAACATTGAATTACAGTGGTATTCAGTTTGTATTCTGAACATTCGTTGTGGAATTGAATCAGATATCATTCATAGGATACCTCCACAATATAGTAAATGAAAGAGGAAACTTCACTTACATGGAACACTGTCATCCTCCTGGTGGACATCCGTAAGAAACTTGCCTTATTGCCCCTTTGCATAATCTACACATCTTTGTACAGAGTCCATTTTTTAAACTGATTGCTTCCTTCCTTTCTTTGGAAGATTCTCACATTTTCTGTAGGGATTTGAAGAAAAGAGTATGTGGAAATTATGTTTCGTAGACAACCATCCTTCAGCAAAAATGATTAGCTTGATCTTAAGAAATGCATTCAATCCAATTAATCTACATGGCTTCAAGAATCAAAAGGACACCATTCAATAAATTCATTAGCAGATTTGACATTTGAAAATAGTAAATGAAATAGACCAAAATATAAGGATGAGTTGAATGGGGGAAAATAATTTGTGGATCGAAAACTGAAAGCTGATTCAAACTGTTTTAAGTTAGAACAAGAAAACAGGAACATTGTGATTAAGAAATTCAATCGAAGAAATGTCAAACCAAAAACGAGTTAGAAACCTGAACTAGATTGAAAAAGATATTGATGAAATTCAAAATTCTTAGTTGAAGGATATGGACTTTGAAACTTATAACGTGAAGTTATCTAAAGGAACATTCAGGCCAGTCTCACCTCCCTACACTGTAGGGTAATGGACTGACACCCATCAGGAAACAACTACTTCCCTGGCTAGTATGACGAAGGGCGTTGGATTATATCCGACAGGTGTCAGTGCAGGATTCTTCACTGAAGGTATTCCTGCATATGCTGTTGGTAAAGCAACTAATGCAACAGATTTTCAATTTTTGGAACACACTTGCACACCGGTTTCGGGCTGTTTGGCCTCTCGTCAGTGGGCATACTTGAAGACCAGCTATAAATCAGATCTTCTAAAGGAACAATCAGTTCAGGCCAGTCTCAACTCCCTACACTGTACGGTAATGGACTGATGTCAGAAAACATTAACCAGGGTAGTAGTTGTTCCGTTATCTCAATGTTCCGTCATCTCAATGAATCAAATTAAATCATCGATATGTGAATCAAATAAAAAATTAGAAATAAAAATAAGGTTTCAGCAGGACGATGTAACCTCCATATTGTGTCCTACAAATGAGGCATGTTTTTTCACATTTCTTTTTACAGGAATACAGTAGAGCAGTAGAGTGTAGAAACCTTCAATTCTATAAGAGCTACGACAGAAAACTTACAGATTTTTTCGAATATTTCGAATGATACATGAAAGTAATTGGAGTTGATTTTATCATAGAATGGAACTGGGTGGCGACCAAATCACTTTTTGAATTGTCTTCATTAACTTTTTCGACACTTTGTTGTTTTTTGATGATTTTTTTGAATGTAAAAACAGAGTTTTCAGTTATTCAACATCGACTTTTTCTATAACGAAAAGTAAACGTTGAAAATTTTGAATTGTTATAGAGGATTAAGATGTCCCTCAAATGACTGTCTCAAATATCACTACTCAAACAAACCGTTGCACCAAAAGTCCTTCAATTAAAGAAGAAGTATGAGCAATGAGAATAGCTTTGAAAGTAAGGGGAATTTTTTTCAACGCCGTGTCAATGATCTCTGAATGAAGCAATTTTGCTCTAAGCATCCTATGTTTCGCGATATCCCCATGACACAGACCAAATATATTGTATCTTAGGCGTCTCATTTCAACACCAAAATGTATGCTCACTGCTTCAACCCTATAAATTAATCACTTATGTTCTCCTTCTATTCCTGTTTCTCTCGCCCTTTGGAGAATTCATGAAACCGTAATGGATTGTGGCTAGAAATGGTGTCACGCCAAGTATTCGCATTCACTGCAAACACACATCAATCAAAACCCTCCGTCTTTGACAATTAACCCAAGTGGTACCCCAACAAATTTGTCATGTCACGGCTCCTAGAACTCGTCTAAATTTCCCGTACGCGGAAACATTTTGCTACTACTAACTTTGGCACACGAAACACGACAAATTTGCCAAGCAACACCCGAGCTCTTCGATTGAATCGAGTAACTATTTGGAAGATAAAAAACGTTATTCAAACTTCACAAGGTATCGTAGGCATTTCTGCCAAGCTCAATTTCACTACTGTCACTTCCCTACGTCAAGCAGGCGTGGTCGAACCGGTATTACAGGACACTACCGGTACCGTCTGGCTGGCCATCGTTGCCATGTTGTTGGCCACGATGTTGCCAATACCACAACCTTTAAGTTCGGTGAAAATTTCAGTGAAGTACCCTGGTTCTGCGTTGATTCTCAACATGTTGGGGGAGAGTCTGTCAACTATGTCTAAACACCTGTCCCAGAACTTTTCTTTGGAGTCTTCCACGAGGAATGGCTTCAGGGGATATGAGATCTCGTTGCCCATGTACGAGTAGGAGAGGTAGAGGCAGGTGAGGACTACTGCTTGGAGGTCCTGCTCGCAGTCGATGTCGGATCTGACGAGGTCCCGAACCAGCATGTATACGAAAACTACGTTGGCTGGATTGATGAAGGCGACGTCCTGTAAAACAATTGTTTTAGTAACATCTTCTTTGCAGAAACCTCACTTCTGAAGGAATATAAGGCAAGTACACAAAACTTTCAGGTAAAGATTGGAAAAAGTTCATTTCTATTACAACGTTCAATCATTACAAGAGGTGGAAGATATTGTATTCATAACAGGAATAAATAATTGTAGTCGATTCAAAGTACATGGGATGAAATGGGTTGAAATTGAGGAGTGGAAAATGTTTTATACGGTTCCCACATGAACTAGATTTCTCGTTGAAAACAGTTGAATGGAAAAGTTGAGGCAAAATGAAGGTCTACAGCTTATGTGGGAACAGTTATTCCACGTAGCCCAAAATTTTCCAGACAAACCGATTTTTTCCCCCACGAAATGTATTTTTTTTCACTATACTAGGTATAGTCAAGTAAACAGTATTGTGCACACTCAAAATCGTCGGCACTCTCAAAGGCCAAAAATACCAATACATAGAAGAACCGGCTGCGAAAGAGTCCACGTGGACTGAAGAATTGGCGGTTCGTATTGGATAATTTTTACTAACCGAGTTTTATGATTGGCTAAAGAGGCTCCTGCTCAGTGGCAGAAATAAGTAGGGTGAGTGAAACTCAAGCCCCCCAAAAGCCTTTGCAAAACATGCCACCGTGGACCAGCCTACCCAAGCTAAGGTGTAAGGAATCGTGCCGACCGCTGAATGGCAGCAGGGAACTGAGCGAAACCTAATTGTAATTAGCCAGAGGTGACCAACTCTTTCTTTGCTACTCGTGGGAATACACATGAATTAAACAACACAAAAACAGAAACAACAAAAACCAATCCCGAGGCTGGACAGAAGTGCTCACCTCAATCTAAGACGGTGGCTGGAGATCAACAGAAATGTCCACTCCAATTTACCGCTTGGAATGAGGCTGGACATAGCAGATCACCTCCAACAGCAAGGCCATTTCCTGCAGCGGACGCCAAGGTCTCCGCCTTGAATAAAGGCAAGGAACCGGCTGCCCCTGCAGGAAAGCTCCCTCACTTGTCCACCTTCACGGAGGGAACCCCAAGAAGGTTGAAAAAGCCGCGCAACGACAGTGATATCGCTGCACCTTCCAAAACCTTCGCGGAGGCCGCCATGAGATACCTCAAGGTTGCCGAAGAGAGTGTGTGTTCGGCGAGTCTTGGCCTACACCTGCCAATATAAAGGAGATGTCTTCTAATGACCTGTTCACCTTCCTGGAAAGAATGGGATGGACTATGACCTAGGAGGATAACTCCTCAGGAGGATGTACAATGGGTCACATGTGGCCTAAGTTCTGTGAATCTACATCCCCCTTCCTACTCTACAGATCAGACCCAAACCCACATCACTGCAGGTAGCTGGATGACCGAAACGCTCATGGAATCGTTTTTTGCGACCCTTTTCCGGTACAGAAATAGAGTGGTCCGTTGAAGTATCATAAACCCGCCTATATCAACTTTGGTAAATCATAACTCAATCACAAAATTTTATTGGAGCACTCTTTTAATGTTAGGCATTTATAACATTTTGTCATTGATTAACAAGCAATAATACAAACAAAGGAATTTCAATTCTATCCCTGAACTACCCAACTTCCTAACAAAATAAACTCCTTTCCCAGCCCCAATAAACTTCTCTTCCACTCGGAATATTGGGTTGAGGCAGTATTACGAGAAATGGCGCAATAACTTAACTCAATAGAGAAAATATTCCTATCCACAAACATCCATACGTTTCTGGAAATCCTCTGGAATCCGCTTTGGAAATGTCCAATAAATAAGCAAAAAACAAACATCCAGCATCCCAACCTACATTTCCAGACCACTCCCTGCCACGAGGTGACCTCGTTCACACACCTGCACAAACAGGAGCGTACAGGGTTGAACTGGCCATATAGTGTAGCCTTATTTTGAGAGGTATCGCACCCCAATCGCAAACAGTGGCGGCCCACATTGCGAGGCTTTGGGTGGCAGATCTTTATGAGGCCCTTGTCTATTGCGAAAAGTGTAAATTAGATAAAGATATTTCTGACTAGTGATAAGTAACGAAATTTATGAATGAATAAATTCAGTACTTCAGAATACTAGTTCAGACTAAAAACATACATAAGGCCTATTTTTAAGTTAGAACAAATTCTTAACCACTGCTTTATGTTGAAGGGCAATAAGGTTTAAAAAAAACAGCTGAATTATTATAGATTTTTTATCCAGAACATTTCAACATTGAACATTTTGTGTGATTATATGTTCAGGTTGCTTAGAATCCCGCAGCTGACATTGAATAAGTATAGATGCCATATGTACTGTTTAATTTGGCAACATTTTCTTCGAGGTAATGTGCTCTTTTAAATTGTTCAGCTCCAAACAATCTACGCCGGAATGATTTTTTTGTTTCTTTCCATGATATACTTTTTACGCAATTGTTGCAGTGCTCCATACATTTTTTCTTTTTTGGTGTCATTGTATGCTTTGCAATCCCAGTTGATATCAGTAACTGATATGGTGACAATAGTGCACTGCCTGCATTACCTAAAAAAGAGATCAAATTTTATTAATTCAAAAATAATGTTATAACGCTAATGTTACACTAAAACTACATTAAAATAATTCTATCGAGGTGAAAAAGGTGCACTACGGCTATGCGCTAATTTCATACCAAGAGCTATCATCCAATGAACTCAGATTTCACGCATAAATTTTTGCCAATATGAATATGATATTTTTGACAGAACTCATGTATCTCTATCCTTTAAAATGTAGAGTGTTGAAAAAAGAGAGTAATACACTGACTCTGCACGAGTTCTACCAAAAGAATTCGATATATGTCTGTATGTTTATATTCATTACCTTCAATACTGTGAGAAGATTCGTTCAATTCTGGAATCTCAATGACTAACTCATTAAATTGAGTACTTTCTTGAGCAGAACTATTTGAAGACTTAGATGTTGATGGAGTATCATATACATCATTTGGGCCTGTTGAACCTATAAAAAAGTGTGTTTCATTTAAGTTTCACGAATTAAAATTTTTACTCACCAGGAAGATTTAGAGTTGGAACAGCGTTCCCAAATAACTTGTGAGACCAAGCAGAAATGTATTTTGCCTCAAAATGACTATCACACAGCCTTCTAGAACCGTAAACTTCTTTTGGGTCCATTTCCATCAGTTCCAAGTTATTAATTACCAGTATCCATTTCTTGAACCTATTTATATCTTTATCTGGATTAGGGAACGCATGTCTTATACTAGATATACTTTTGCAATAAGGAACGCAACATTTGTTGTGGTAAACCATTGTAAAACAATCAAAATAACGAAATAAATAATCACTAGGGTACACAGTCAGACAACAACAC